AGTAACACAAACATCCTGTCTCCGTCACTTCCCACTCTGTGGAGTCAAAACATACACCGTCATGTGATAGACAAAAATCCCATGACTGCAATCATGGAGCAGGAATTCTAATACTCATATCACTTCAACAGCCATAGCTCCCCCCAAATGAATATGGAAACTGTAGCTTCTTAGAGGTACTGGGAGTTGTTAGGTAAAGATAAAGAGACCCCTGACCGTTAGGTCCAGTCGCAGACGGCTCTGGGGTTGCGGCGCTCATCTTGCTTTACTGGCTGAGGGAGCTGGTGTATATCTCTTGCAGACCTGCCATTGCCAGAGGTCCTTTGGAAACGGAATTGACTATAGGGATTGTAACTCTGTGGCGGCATGTGTGTGTGTGTGGGTGTCTTCTAACTGCACTCAGTGCCCATAACAAACTACAGTTCCCAGGATTGTTTGTGGTGAAACATGGCTGGCAAAGTGGTATAAAAGTGTGTTAAATACAAAGGTGTGGAAGCAACCTTGTCTCCTGTTGTACCAGAGGGAAGAACTAATGGATAAACATTAGGAGGAACTTCGTAATGGTAAGAGGTACAGTCTTCATCCTTGGATGTTGTGGTGATCACACAGGGTCCCCAGACATTTAACGGTCTATTGATCCCTGTGCCACCACTGTGCTCGCTTCCCCGCTGCCACCAACCAGTTACTCTCTGGTAAAACACTGAGCCCAGTCAGTTGTTAAAAGTGAACCAAAAAAAAAACACAAGTTTATTTTACAAACATTAATAAGTTCATGGTTTCTCAGATAATATTCATGTCAGTATCTTAACTTTAGTTTCTTTACCGGCCTATAACTTCCTAATACCTTCTGACTGATTATCTCAACTGTTTGACTAACTCGTCTTAACAAATTCTCTCCCTCTCTCACACCAGACTAGCCCAACCCACAGACTTCTCTTCTCTGTCTCTTCTAACTCCAGACTGTCTTCTCAACCACCCTAAATCTAACTCCTCCAAAAAACCTCTGTGCTTAAACCATATACACAGTTAACTCTGCCCCCTGGGTTCTCATTGGTTAGTCATTTTACAATTAGTTGACCCTTTCCCTATGAACCCAGTATGATGTCACACACCTGGGAGGGCAAACGCCACATATGTTTATGAAGTATGGTGTGATTATCTACCAGGGATTGCACTCTGTGTTTAGCAGTGGGTTGGAGTAGATGACCTCTGAGGTGTTCTCCAACTCTATAAAAATTTCAGATGGATGGATGGATAAGTGCATTAAAAAAATTAAAAGCAAGTTATTATTTATTTACTGAACAACAGTTCTATACCTCTTGATTATAGTAAGATCTCCAAATGGTGTACAAGAAATATTAAAATCATCAGTAAAAACAACAACAGTTAAAACAATTTAAAACATTAATTAAAATTAATAGTAAAAGGGATGAAAACATGCTGACTTCTGTGTGTCTGGGTAGACTTGCCTAAACAAAAATGTTTAAGCAGGCACCCAAAAGAGTACCGTATTTTTTGCGTGTGTGTGTGTGTCTTATGGAGCGAATGCAGGCTGCGCAGCTATCCCAGAAGCCAGAACAGCAAGAGGGATTGCTGCTTTCACTGCGCAGCGATCCCTCTTGCTGTTCTGGCTTCTGAGATTCAGAATATTTTTCTTGTTTTCCTCCTCCAAAAACTAGGTGCGTCTTGTGGTCTGGTGCGTCTTATGGAGCAAAAAATACGGTATATAACAAGGGCATCTGCCTGGTGTCAATAGGCAGGGGGTTCCAAAGTTTATGTGCCAACCACACCAAATGACCAATTTCCAACATGATTGCAGGATGAGTATTATGAGGCACTTCTAATAATGCCAGGTCCACAGATCAAAGGGGTTGAGTGGGCATATATGGAGCAAAGTGGTGTATATTACTTTTATTTTCATAAAAGCAGGCAAACGAACAGAGATCCAGTTAAAGCTCCCCATACCCATTACTGCCCAGTTATCAAAAACCTACTATTAAGAGCTTTCCTATTACAAATACAGTTAGAAAACCACTGCAGATTTGACTTGGCCTTCATCCCACAAACTCTGCGGAAGAAATGTTGCGAGAAATGCGCTCCCTTTTTTCCCCAAATATCAATTTTAATATCCTGCTGTTGGGAGGCGGGGAGAAAGGAATTGCTTTTTATATAGAGAGAGCAAAGTGATGAAAGGAACATCATTTAAAGATCGACAAAGAGCTTCCATTGCTTTGCCAGGAGGGGAGGAATGCATTTCAAGGATCCCAGAGACTTCTAAGCATTTGAAAGCTTTTGTTTCTTTTCATTGGGTTCTTATTGCTTCGAGTTTTCTACATTGTTGTCATCATTTCAGTAGTGTATAGAGGAGGTGCTTTCTTCCCAAATTGCTCTGGTGGCAGAACATCAGTGGTTGAAAGCAAGCAGCTCATCATCACTCACAGGAAAATACATTCCTGCAGGTCAGTTCAATTTGTGCCGTTTATCAGAAGAGGCAAGTGATTCATTGTCACTGTTCCAGAATATCTTTATTTGATACCTTTAAATCCTGTCTCTCTTTTCTCCATGGAACTCAAGCCAGTGGTCTACCCATCCAGGCAGTGACCAGATCCAGACCTGCTTAGCTTCAGTAAACATACTGCATCATGAACCATCAGTCCATAACAGGGGCTATCATTCCTTTTTTTTAGCTTGCAAAAGGAGTAACAAGAGTAGTTTTGTCCTCATAGGCAAACCCTGCTGTTATGTACTGAGTTGAATAGGATCCAAAATGCAGCAGTCTGATTGGTCCTAGAACAATAGGATTCAGAATGCAGCAGTCTGATTGGTCCTAGAACAATGCAGCAGTATGATTGGTCTGCAGGAGCCACCCAATCCAGCTCCAGATAGAAGTGAATCCACAACCTGATTGGCCTACAGGAGAATTCTGGAATTAGCCAATCACGTGCAACCCACTGTGTAAATAATGTATATAAAGCAGATACTTTGAGGGGACTTTCTCCCTCCTCACCACTATGAGCTGAATAAAGAGCATGAAATCCACTCTTGACTCTGAGTATATTTCACCTGCAAAGGAGATCAGTGTTGCAACCAATTTAGGGACAGGAAACTTAAGAGACAAATGGCTTGGTTAAGGCCATAGGAACATAAAAACACCAGAACAGCCTATTGGATCAGGCCAGGGGGTCTGTCTAGTCCAGCACCCTGTTCTCACAGTGGCTGACCACATGCCTGTGAGAGGCTTGGAAGCAGGACCTGAGCACAAGAGCACTTCTCCTTCCTGAGGTTTCCTGAAATCCAGAAGCAATTACAGGCTTGACTACTGTAATTCGCTCTACGTGGGGCTGCCCTTGAAGCTGTCCCAGAAACTCCAGCGGGTGCAGAATGCTGCAGGGAGGCTCCTCTCATGGCAGGGTCACTGCCATGGGAGAATATTCACCCAGTGCTTTTCCAGCTGCACTGGCTCCCGGTGGAGTACAGGGTCAGATTTAAGGTGCTGCTTTTGACCTTTAAAGCCCTTCACGGCCTAGGAGCCTCGTACCTACGGGACCACCTCTCCCGGTATGCCCCACGGAGAGCCTCAAGGTCCATAAATAGCAACACCCTAGTGGTCCCGGGCCCTAAGGAAGTTAGATTAGCCTCAACCAGAGCCAGGGCCTTTTCAACACTGGCTCTGGCCTGGTGGAACGCTCTGTCTCATGAGACCAGGGCCCTGCAGGATCTGGTTTCTTTCCGCAGGGCCTGTAAGACAGAGTTGTTCTGCCTGGCCTTTGGCTTGGAATCAACTTGATCCCCTCCCCCTCTTTCCTTTTTCCTTTCTCTTTCTGTAATGGAACTCCTATTTGGGGACTTCCCTGGCTTTTTTCTGGCCCACATGGGACTAGTCTGGATAGTTGGCCTTCGTGAAGATCCCCAAAAAAGTTTTTGATTTGAGTTTCTACTGAAATGAGGCTGCATTTTAATGTTGTATTTTAATCTTGTTTTTAAGTTGTATTTTAATCAATTGTTTTTATACCTGGTGTTAGCTGCCCTGAGCCCGGTCTTGGCTGGGGAGGGCGGGGTATAAATATTATTATTATTATTATTATTATTATTATTATTATTATTTTCCCCATTGTGGGATGGAGGGCTTTATTTGCAATTCTGAGAAATGAATGAGCATGGTCATCCCATCCGCCAGCATCCTGATCAGTTAGCAGAGTCAAAGAAGATTATGAGCTGACAGGCATACAGTTGTGAAGTTTATACCAGGGGTACCCAAGATGGTGCCCTGCCGATGTTGGACCTCCCCAACTCTCATCAGCCAGCATAGCCAATGGTGATGGATGATGGACCCAACAACACCTGAAATTGAATATCACTTTGGGTATCCTTGCTTTCTAACATATCATGAGCCAACAGGTGTCCTCCTCCTGAGTTTAAATCACAAATCATGAGAGCAAAAGTGAGGGGACTTCAGCCATTTTGAAGGGCTGGAAGGGAGACTTACTGGTAGATCAACTGCAGATATCTTCCTGACTATTACTGAGAGGCAGTCACCAACTCCCCACCCCCCAACTGCACCCTCTGAAGATCACTATGTGAAGACATAGTGTTGTGTTTGGGTGATTGTCCCTAAGACTCTTCAGGTGGGCATAGGTTGGTAGAACACAATATTCAGTTTTTGGGGAGTGTCCGTATTTTAGAGTTGGATTTTCAGTCTTAACAGGCATGCAATTCTGGTATTCTGCTGCTCCTTATTACTTGTCACTTGAAGGTGTTTGTTAGTTTCCTGTGAGTTGGGATTTCCAATTTTTTATTATTATTATTATTATTATTATTATTATTATTATTATGTGTGTGTTTTATCTTTCTCTCTCCTTCTCCTAGGTAATGCATTTGTGGTGAGCCTGGCCCTGGCAGACTTAGTGGTGGCCTTGTACCCTTTCCCTTTAGTGCTCTCGGCCATCTTCCACAATGGCTGGTCCTTGGGGGATATGCACTGTAAAGCAAGCGGCTTTGTGATGGGACTGAGCGTCATTGGCTCCATCTTCAACATCACCGCCATCGCAATCAACAGGTACTGCTACATATGCCACAGTTTTGCGTACGACAAAGTGTACGGTTGGTGGAACACCATGATGTACGTCTGCTTGATTTGGGTGCTGACGGTTATCGCGACGGTGCCCAATTTTTTCGTCGGCTCTCTCAAGTACGACCCGCGCATCTATTCGTGCACCTTCACCCAGACGGCCAGCTCCTATTATACCATTGCCGTGGTCGTCATCCACTTCATCTTGCCCATCACCATCGTGAGCTTCTGCTACCTTCGAATCTGGATCCTGGTGATCCAAGTGCGGAGGAGAGTAAAGTCAGAAGTCAAGCTGAGGCTGAAGCCGAGTGACTTCAGGAACTTTGTCACCATGTTTGTTGTGTTTGTGATCTTTGCCTTTTGCTGGGCGCCACTGAACTTCATTGGGCTGGCTGTGGCCATCAACCCTTCCGAAATAGCGCCCAGGGTTCCCGAGTGGTTGTTTGTGGTGAGTTACTTCATGGCCTACTTCAACAGTTGCCTTAACGCAATAATCTATGGACTTCTGAACCAAAACTTCCGGAAGGAATACAAACGGATCTTAATGTCCTTGTGGGTGCCAAGGCTGCTTTTTCAGGACACATCCAAAGCAGGGACCGAAGTTCAGAAGAGCAAGCCGTCTCCTGCTTTAAATAACAATGACCAGTTCAAAACCGAGACCTTGTAGATAGGGGGACAGTGGATGCAGAAAGGCGCCATTTTGTGAATTCCAACAATGCTTTTCTTAAAGTTGTACATCTTGTTCCTGCTTACTCTGTCCTGTGTTCTCCCCTACTGAATGAGCGTGCTGTGGCGACTGGAATCTTGTCTTCTTGGCAATGCACCTTCTGTTTACATGTTTCTATATTTGATAGCTAGGTATCAATATGAAGTTGGCTTTGGAATACAGAAGAAGAAGGTAAACAAACCAACAGGCTGAAACCAGCCTTGGACTTGGATGTAGAAACAGCAGGTCTACCAGGGTCCTTCAACGTTTGTACAAAATATGGTTCTCAGGAAGCAGAATGCTTGCACTGTCTTGTCAGGATGTGTTGTGGATGGTGACCTCTAACAATTTCCCCTTCTCTTAGGGAAAAGAAAATTAATGCCTGCATCTTCAGCTGAATGCCAGCCCTGTCTTATGTATAATATAGAACAGATATTGTCCCCAAGCTTTAGGGGACAAAGAAAGATAAATCCACTCATTTTAATGCAGATCACTGAAATCTGGACCTTCTGAAACTATGTGCAGACCAAAACTACAGCTATCATTTGAATTGACACTTCTCCAAATGGTGCTGTTTTCCAAGCAGAATATGCATACAAAGAAAAGCATGTATAAGAGGAACATGCGTATTAGTAAAAAAAAAAGTATGTTCAAAAATATTAGGGGGAGATTATTGCAAAAATGTGTGCATTAGTACAAAAACAGGCGCTTAAATGAGTACAAATTTTCCATGTGGATTTATAATACAGTTCACAACGTGATGCAGAAATGGGGCAAACCAGACTTGGGATTGGGGCGAGGGGTGAAAAACTGACGCTTGCATATTTGTCCGTTCCAACTCTGAGCTGACATGGCTGACCTATATGAACAATCGTCCAGTTTTGACATCGCAGCAGCTTGTCCCACTTCTGTCATGAGATGGCACCTTGTTCTACTTGGGCATGATGGCTGCATGAGCTGCAGGCTGATACAACAATCCTCTTGCCCAACCTTCATCACCTGCCACCAGGACAAGGCTGTAAATGGAATGGTGGCTCTGCTGATCTGTGCCCCATTCTGCCCTCTGCAATTTGCAGCTGGGGTTTGGATTGCCCCCTTAGACTGCAAACTTGTCTCAACCCCCAAAGAATCCTGGGAGCTGTAGTTTAACCCTCGCACAGCTAGCATCCCCAGCACTTGTGACAAACTACAGTATCTCGAATTCTTTGGGCTTCAGAAGTATTTGACATGGACTGAATCACGCTCATTGTTCGTTCATGGTGAATGTTCCCTTTTATGAGCAATACTTTGTTTTTCAACTGTAGAAAAACTGTATGTTCTTTACCATTTTCCTGCCACTTTACTGCCTAACATTGATTCAGTTCCCTCTCGCAACCTCCCATCGTAAAGACACTGTAAATGCAAGGGGCGATTAATTCTGATATGGCAAAGAAGAAAAAGCTATTTTAGTAAATTTTGACAGAGGTTATATGTTTTTAGTGTGACTTTGAAACTCAGGAAGGATATACCGAAACTGTGTGGAGACCTCTGTATACTTGCATATTTAAGAAATTATCAGTTCCGTTTCGAAGATTTACAGAATTAATACCAGCATTTGAATATATATATGTTTATATATGTCAGGGAAAGAAAGGAAAGCTGAAGTTTAATGTTCATAATGCAAAAAGGGGGGGAGCAGATGACACTTTAGAAATCTACTGCTTTCAGAACAGAGAGGTGTGTTCTCTCAAGCATTTTATTCTCTCTTAAATAATAGGTTTCTGTGAAGGGATTGTATTTATTGCCAACAGAAGATACACATGTGATGTGCATTTTGTTCAGCGTGTGCAACTGGCAATAACTCTGGAGCCTACGAAAGTCCTCATAGTCCCCAAAGATATGGCATGGTTTCTGCCCATGGCACAGAAGCCACACAGGCGCATGGGAGAACATTTATGTGCCATGGAAGGACAAATGCATTCCGCCCAGCGGCCAGGAGCAGGAATGGGGGAGGGATTTGGTTCTGGGCTGCTTTTCGCAGTGGACCAACCTAGTCTGAGCTCGCTTACAGACCAGAACGCTGCTGCCAGCCGTATTAAGCACATCTCCAGATTTTGCAATATAGTTTTGGTCTGGGAAAAGTGTGCATGAAACCACACATTGTATCTTAAGGATAAATGCATCGAAAGTGGCATATTTTATGTGAGATGTGGGTACAAAATGCAGTCAGCCTAAATGTGGACTTTGTGTCCGTTCTGACAAGAAGAAGTCCACGCAAAATGGGACAAGGCAGAGCTATGACATGAGTGCCAGTGAGAATGGAACAAGATGGAAGTGGCAGTTTAGCTCATCCCTAACTAGGAGATGGGTAGATTCGGTCGAACTCCTGTGGGGCACCTCCCCTCATGCTATATGAGGCATAGGGAATGTGTGTGTCAGGTTCAATGGATTCTCTCCTCCCCTGGTAGCATCGAGGATCAAAGAAGAAACAAGAGAGTTCATATTTGTGGTTTTTATTCAGCAATTGTGGAGCAAGGCAAGCGGCCCAGTCTTAACGCCATGGTGACGTTGCTCACTCTGAGCCCCTTCCTTCCCCAGCTACAGCCCATGGCTGTACAGGAGGTTTAAGGAGTCAAAAGTCATTGAGCCCTTTGCTGTTGAATTCTGAGTGAGTGACAAGTACGGGGTGAGGGTGGGTCTTCTGTGCTCTCCAAGGAAGTCTCTGCTGGCAGTTTTCCAACTCCCCCTCCTTCCCCTAAGATCTCATAACTTGGCAGCTCTGTGTTTTGTTGTAATACAATCCTGAAGGAGCGTCTCCACCCCCATCGTTCACCCTGGATGTTGAGGTCCAGCGCTGAGGAGGGCCTTCTGGTGGTTCCCTCACTGTGAGAAGTGAGGTTACAGGGAACCAGGCAGAGGGCCTTCTCAGTAGTGGCACCCACCATGTGGAACGCCCTCCCATCAGATGTCAAGGAAATAAACTATCTGACTTTTAGAAGACATCTGAAGGCAGCCCTGCTTAGGGAAGCTTTTAATGGTTGAAGTTTCATTCTTATTGGCGATCTGTTGGGAACCAACCAGATGGATGGGTAATAATAATAATAATAATAATAATAATAATAATAATAATAACTGTTCTCCCTCTTCTCTGGAAACTACTGGGGAAAGGGGAGCTGGTCCCCTCCTCCAAGGGAAGCAGAGGGGAAAGAGGGGCTTGTTCCCAAGCCTCCTCTTCAGTCCAGTCCCTGACACTGTGGTTTCGCTCTGTAAATTTTGATCTGGTCTATGCTCAACCAGAAGCTTTTGATGGGCTTTGATGATCTAGCTATACTGAAATCCTACTGTTGTGTCACAGTCTAGTGTGACCAAGAGACAGAACCCAAAGTGGCACTATGTAGATGAAGAGCAGTGCTTGATTCTCAGCGACACAGAGGCAACACAGAGAGCAGGCTGGTCTCCTCCTCCCCACCTACTCGATTGTCCTGTTGTCATCCGCACCACACCAGTCACAATGACAGACAGTTTGCTAGTCAAACATAACAAACAAGATGTCATGGATGCTTTTGTTCAGATTCCTGCATTTCAGGGGGTTGGACTAGATGACCCTCAGGATCCCTTCCGACTCTACAATTCTATGATTCTATGAATGTGGCTTCGCTACCTCTCTCCCCTCCCATTGGTTGAGGACATGTCTGAATTCAAACAGGGTTAACTTTTGTCTGTGTGCTTCTATTTATTTACTTTCAATTGCTGCATGAGGTGAAGAGTTTTAAAGAGACTTTTCTCTGTGCAGAAATAAAAGATATTGTAAATATGTTGTGAATCTTGTATATTGCATTTTTCCTGCAGGACTTTCTCTTGGAGCTGGGGGAAAATCCTGTTTCCTAATCTGTTGGGAATTGTTGTTTTCACTGGCTGGTACTATGAATGCTATCATACTAAATACAGAGGTTGCCTCAAGGTTTATCAAGCGTGCGAGGAATTGATGTCAAATTGTATAACGTGTCATTGACTTTTTCTCCCCAGCTCCTTTGCTATGCTATTAGCTATATCTGGGGCAATGGAGGACGGGGGACAGATAAATCCTGGCATTATGACCCGAAGTCTATTTTATTGTACATATTTTGTAACTGCAATGGGCTTGATCTAACCTCCAGCACAAGTGATATTTTTAATTACATTGTAAAGGAAATCACTAATATGATGTAAGAGCGAAACGGTTTTCTTCTTGCTTAGTAGCAAGTTGACCTGAGCTTGTAAAACACAACAAGGGCATGGAATATTTATGTCTCCGTTATGTGCTCGCCGGCAAAAAAAAAACAAAAAAACATCCTGCAGTTTCTTCACCCGGCAAAAGTCCTGGACCCAAATTTCAGGAGTTACGATGAGGTTTCAGCAGTTGTACAAAACCACTTCTAAGTGCGAATCCACCAAGCTCCTGCACTTACTGAGTTGTGATGACGTGACTGAAATCTCACTGATGCCTGGAACGCTTCCACAAGGAGTTCATTTCAGGGCACAGAACATTTTAAATGATATCATTAGTAGATATGTTCGTGCTGTGCCAAATATTTATTTGTGTTCTCCCCCACCCTAACATTTGCTGTCAATTCACGAGAAAAGAAATTGCATTCAAAAATTATCCCACGGGAGAGAACATTTGGGTAACATTCTCATGAGTAGGGGACAGGGTTTTCACTGCGCTTTACCTTACTTTCAAGATGGCCAGTTTTTTGTTGCTTTTTTTAAAAAATGAGTATCAGTTCTTTTCAATTTATGAATCATCTTTATGGAAGTCTGCATTTACACGTCCTATAAACCTTGTGATGTCCTCAGCTGGGCTTCCCTGGAAGTCTGGTAAGCCAAGGAAGCTGTCTTCACTCTCCTGACAGCTGTCCAGTGTTGTTATAGAAGTCACAGGATGCTACCTTCTACTGAGTCAGACCACACTACCCTCAGCTATGATAAGGTTGACTTAGCCC